GCACGTTTTTCGAGGAAAATACGTGCGTCTCCGCGTGTCTCCGTGTGTCTCCGGGTGTCTCCGCATGTTTTCTGAGCACCCTCAACCCTAAACCCTAAACCCCAAACCCCAAACCCTGAAACGTTGCCGCGCGGCCGCAGCCGTGTCTGCTGCAGCGGCCCGTCGAAGCCCAGCTTGTGTGCCTGCAAGAAGCATGGCCGAGCTCGCCCCCGCTTCCTTGGACGAGCGCTTGGTGGCGACCAACCCGGGCGACGAGGACTCGGTGCCGTTGCGCTGCTGCAAGTGCGGAGGCGCGTTCGTGGCTGAAGTCAAAGAACACCTTCCTCTGCAAGCTGTGCCACCGCCTCAACAACATCCTGACCCGTCACCTTGGCTGCCGCTACGTGGGTCAGCTGGAAGGAAGCTCCGAGCAGCAGACGCAGGAGTTCTGGAGCAAGGTGGGCTGCAAGTGCAAGGACCAGCCGGGCCTTCCCTTTGACAAAGTGAAGGACCTGGTGGTCACCCAGGTCGTGCACCGCACCGTGACCGAGCACGCAGAGACCTTGCAGGGAGAGTTCTTGCCGCTCAGTGTGTACCGGGCAAAGGGTTACTCCGAGGCCGAAGTGAGCAACATCGCCTCGAACTGTGCCTGGTACCACTGCAACCAACTCCAGGTTCCTGTCTACTGCCTGAGAGTTTTGAGCAGCTTCCACAAGGAAGCCCGCGTGAAGGCCGAGGAAGAGTGGCTGCAAGCGGAGCGCGCTGTCAAGAAGCGCAAGGGCGCTGCTGGCGTGACAGCGCCTGCGGAGGGCGACAAGGCCGTGGCAGACGACGGTGGCCAGCCTTCCGACTCGGCTGAGACCCAGCAGGCGGACACCCAGGCCCAGGTCGTGCAGGTGGACCTTGACCTCGTGGACCTCTGTACGGACTCCGAAGAGGAGAAGCAGGCTGAGCTGAAGAAGCGCAAGCTCAGCCAGGAGGAGAAGAAGGCTGCTAGGGCCGAGGCCACGGCCGCCAAGAAGGCCGAGAACGAGGCGAAGAAGAAGCGTCGCCAGGAGAACAAGAAGACGGCCAGCTTCGCGGCCAAGGCCTGCGCCGACTTGCTCAAGGCCGTGGACAAGACGAAGACAGCCCTGGCAGCCGCGAAGAAAAAGAACAAAAGCGAGCTGCTGGTGCAGGGACTCGAGGCCCAGCTGACCGAGCAGCAGACCTGGCGGAAGCAGTACCTCAAGGTGGTGAGCGACTTCACCCTCGACCCGGCGGCGGAGTTGCAGTGTCCCCTGGACAGCGAGGCGCTGAAGGCTGCCTTGACCGCTGGCGCTGAGCTCGCTCAAGGGAGCAAAGGAGGCGCCAAGCCTGGCAGAGGCAAGAAGGGCGCCGGCAAGGGCAGCGCAGAGACCGACCTTGTGCCCGAGCCTGAGGCCGCTCAGAAGGAGGAGTGAGACGGCTTGAGTTTTTGGAGTAGATGCCGCCGGCATCAGGCACTACTCCAGGCGTGACTCCCTAAGTGAGGTCTGCCTTGTTTTGAATGCACTAAAGCATTCGTAGAGCACCCTGCCTACGCGCAGGCCTGTACGCTGCGGGACTCTTTACTTCTAGAACAGATGTATATACTCGTGCATGCGGACTTTGTTTCAGAGTAGAGGCCTGTGTGAGAGCACCGCGCTTTTAAGCTTCAAGCGCGGCAAGGTTAGGAGGTAGACTGCTGCTGCGTGCGCGCAGGCTTAGCTTTCCTGGTGACAGCAAGTACTTTTAAGCACTGGAGCCTCCAAGCAAAGCAACACAGCACAGCAACACGCAGGCCTGCGTGGGAGCAGCTGGGTCGCTAGCAGTCACTGGTTGGAAGCAGCCCCTCCTGACTTCGAGGTTAGAAAAAGCGTGAGAGTCCGTGCTCCGCTTGCACTTAGGTTGGTTGCTTGCAGAGCCGGAGCCAGGCGTGCCTGCCTGCCTGCCTGCCCGCCTGCAGCCGGAGCCAGCCTGCGTGCCTGCCTGCCTGCCTGCCCGCCTGCCTGCCCGCCTGCCTGCCTGCAGCTTTGTTGTGGTTTAGGGTTTAGGGTTTAGGGTGCTGGGTTTGGGTGCTTCCGCGGCTCTGCCACGCAGTCCCCCCCTACCAACGAAGACTCCCGGGCCTTGCGAGTCTTCGCACACGGTTGGCCGCGCGTGGGGCGTCAGGGCCAGCTGGAGAACACATGGGACGTTGAGGCCAACGCGTGCGCCCGGCATGCATGACAGCGAGGCACATGGGCTAACGCGCTCGCTGGCGTCCCTGCTCATCCGTGGGTGACTGGGGAGAAGGTGGGTGATTGGCGCCTAAGCCTATCTTCTCCCTTCTGGTCCACGGACTGGCGTATCGTGCGGCTGGGAGGCCACAGTGCGGGAGAACTTGGCTGTTGCTCTGCAACGCAGAGGTCTTATGAGCCTGGTTCGTACTGAGACCCTGTAGCCTAACAGGCTTAGGGTTTAGGGTTTAGAGTTTAAGTAATATTCGTGGTATCTGGT